TTAGAACCAATAGATTTACATCTTCAAGACGAGTACTTCAAAACGGCACTCCACAAGGATCTACTCTAAGTCCTACTCTCTTTCTATTTGAAATAAATAGTATTATACATCAAATAAAACTACCTGTATTTACTAGCCTATATGCAGATGACTTAGTCATTTATCTAAAAACAAACAATGTAACTCTGGGAACACATATACTACAAACTACCTTACACACAATTGAAAGCTGGTCGCAAAATACGGGTTTTATATTCTCTAGTAAAAAGACACGTTATTTAATTTTTAGCAAAAGAAAAAATTATCCTAATGTTCAATTAACACTAAATGGAGTTGTCCTGAAACAAGCAGAAGAAATAAATTTCTTAGGACCTTCTTTTGAACGTAACTTAAACTGGGAAACCCACATCACCAATCTGCAACGTTCTTGCCAATCCAGAATTAATCTACTAAAAATGCTGTCAAATACCTCTTGGGGGGCAGATACAACAATCTTACTTACTCTATATAGATCACTAATACGAAGTAAACTAGATTACGGGTGTTTATGCTACGATACTGCCAACAAAACATCTCTAAAAAAACTTGACTACATTCAAAATATGTGCTTGAGACTAGTTTTAGGTGCAACAAGAACTAGTCCAGTAAGTAGCTTACAAGCACTGGCTAATGAACTCCCCTTAAGCCAACGAAGAAAACTTCTATCACTAAATTACGTTGCCAGAATTTCAGCAAACAACAGCAACGTAACCTACTCAACAATACTTTGCAAAACAAATATATCGTCCGATCTTTACAGAAACATTGCAATAAAAAAACTACCATTTCCTGAACGAATAAAACGTATTGGTCTTAATTTAGAACAGTTCAGTCTTACTATGCCTATTCATGTAAATGTTCCTCCTTGGATGATCAAATCTCCAAACATCAACACGTCTCTAAAAGAACTCCCGAAACATTCCACACATCATTTCCTTATACAGCAAGCTTATAAAAATATATTATCCAAATACCCAACAACCCATCAAATCTTCACTGATGCTTCCAAATGTGATGAAGAACATGCTGCAGCCTACATGTACGAAAACGTCAAGTATACCATACGAATCCCAACAAACTGTTGTATATATACCGGAGAACTTACGGCAATTCACCAGGCTATGAAAAAATGTGGTTCTATCAAGAAAAGCAAATTTGTTATCATCACCGATTCAATGAGCGCATTACTTGGAATAAAACAGCTATATACAACTCACGCCATACTTCTCAAGATCAAAGAGGAGTTATCTTATCTACAGACTCAACAAAAAGATATTTCCTTCATCTGGGTACCTTCCCATATGGGAATAAGTGTTAATGAGGAAGTGGACTCTCTGGCAAGCAATGCAACTACCGACCAAAGTATTGCTATGATAAATCAAATGCCTTGGACTGATCACAAAGTTAATATCAAAGCCCATATGTACAGAGCGTGGCAAACTACTTGGGATCATACTGCCAACAAACTTAAAGAATGTCTAAGTCAAGTAGGCACCAAACTCATCTTACCAAATAATTGAAAAGACCAAGTCATTATCAACCGACTCCGAATAGGACATACTTTCCTTACCCACAAGCATATCTTCAACCAGGAGGCTGCTCCGATGTGTACAAAGTGAAACACTCAGTTGTCAGTGAAACATATAATTGTTGAGTGTCCAGTGTACCAGAACGAAAGAATCGCGTGTACCCTTAGTTACAACTTTAAAAGTGTACTAACGTCAAATTTACATTCCTTATTAAGTTTTCTTAAAATGACTAAACTATATACGAGATTGTGAAAAACATTTGTTTATGTAACAATATGTATCTTACTGTTTGTGTTTGTCCCCCTGCTAATAACCCTTAGTGGTTGATGCGGGTATATTTGTTTAAATAAAAAAAAAGAGTTAATTAACTTAAAACCGCATCAAATCGTTTTTGAGGTTCCGACTTCTCTACACCACTGAATAAAACACTAATTGGACTCGATTACGGTTCAACACCATATATGATACAGGCGTCATTCCAAAAGAATGGCTTAAGTCGACGTTCGTGACTCTACCGAAAAAAGCTAACGCTAGAGAATGCTGTGACCATCGAACCATCAGCTTAATGAGCCACACTCTAAAGATATTCTTGAAAATTATACATCAAAGAATTTTCAGAAAACTGGAGCAAGATATTAGTAACACGCAGTTTGGCTTCAGAAACGCAATGGGTACAAGAGAGGCCTTGTTTGCCCTGAATGTATTGGCCCAAAGATGTATGGATGTTAACCAACCTCTTTATGTCTGTTTCCTTGATTACAATAAGGCATTTGACAAAGTCAGACATAATCGCCTCCTACAGCTACTTCAAGATAAAAATCTGGATATGAAAGATATTAGAATAATATCAAACCTTTACTTTAATCAAGTTGCATCTGTAAAGGTTGGCAACGAACTATCAGAAGAAATAGAAATACAACGAGGGGTAAGGCAGGGATGCATATTGTCTCCGCTGCTTTTTAACCTCTATTCAGAAGAGGTAGTTCAGAAGGCACTAAAGGAAACATCAAGTGGAATTAAAGTCAACGGAGAACTTATAAATAACATCAGATACGCCGATGATACTTTAGTAATCGCAGAGTCAGTTGAAGAATTGCAGGTTCTGATAAATAAGATTGTAGACAGTAGCGAAGAGGCTGGACTTACTTTAAATATCAAAAAGACGAAATTCATGACCATCGCAAAGACACAACAACAGGACACGTTATGGATTAGGGACGAACTCGTTCAAAAGGTGAACAGATATACATACTTGGGAACAATCATAACCGAAAACAACGATTACACACAGGAAATCAAATCACGTATAGGAAAAGCCCGATCAACATTCAATACTATGAGAAAAGTACTTTGCAGCAATGATCTGAGTCTGCAACTTAAAGTACGAATGCTTAGATGTTATGTATTTTCTGTGTTATTATATGGAATGGAGGCTTGGACGCTTAAAAAAGATATAAGTAACAGAATAGAAGCGTTTGAGATGTGGGCTTATAGAAGAATTTTAAAAATAAGTTGGATCGATAAGGTTACGAACAACGACGTTTTAAAAAGAATGAACAAGGAAAAGGAGATATTAAATACAATTAAAATAAGAAAATTGCAGTATCTGGGTCATGTCATGAGAGGTGAGAGATATGAGTTGCTGCAGATCATTATACAGGGAAAGATACTGGGCAGAAGAAGCATAGGCCGACGACGTGTATCCTGGCTAAACAATTTGAGGCAGTGGTACAATTGTAACTCTGTTGAGCTGTTTAGAGCAGCAGTGTCAAAGGTGAAGATAGCCGTGATGATAGCCAACCTTCTTAAAGGAGACGGCACTTAAAGAAGAAGACGGTTCAATTATTTATGACTTCTCAACCAAGAGTACCCTAAAACCGTTAGATACAATCCACAATGCCGCATTCGGATAGTTCTCGGAGTATATCATACTTCACCCACAAAAAACTTATATTCCGAAACTGGACAACCATCATTGCAGTATAGGCGGGCACTTTTACCACTTTCACACACTTCTTCTGTAGCTGCTAATAAGGATCATCCACTGTTCGAAATTACTTTTTTTAAAAATAATCTTGACTTTCTCTTTAATAAACCTCGCACTGGAAAACCTTATTACATGAGTAAGATCAATTCTGAATAATTTTGACACAACAATCATAGAAGTATTTCACTGTAACATCTAACATACGACTCCATGGTTAATAAGCACCTCAAATTACAAGACCCCTCTAATACAGTCCTTCAAAAAATGCAAAACAACATACTAATCAAAAGCAAACTAAACGAGATTCTTAAACGAGACTGCCTTAACTGTACAAACATCTTTACCAATGCCTCTAAATCTAATGATGGCATTGGTTGTGCATTTGTTACTCCAACGTCTACTTTCAAGTTTAAACTACCGCTTAGCTCAAGTGTCTTCACCGCTTAACTGTTTGCTTTGTACCGTACCCTAAAACATTCAAACCTCTCAAGCATTTCAAAAACTTTGTTTCTCACCAACTCGCTCAACTCTCTTCTTCCAATACAGCATCTGTATCCTAAACAACCTTGGAGCAAATAATAAAAACTGAATTAGTGCGTGCGGAATCTGAATTAGTGCGTGAGAGTGTATGTAAAGATCTCAAAACGTTTTTTACACAAAAAATGATTGGTCGGTGGCAGCGCTAATGGTTTCTATCTCAATCTAAAAATTAATATCACTAAAACCATATACCCGACAGTGGAAAACTAGTGCTAGTACACGGTTTATTCAAACGGTTCTAACGGGCCTACGTATAAGACACACTAAGATCACACACTCTTATTTACTTTGGGCCAGTGAACGCCACCTGTGCTATGTGTTATTGCGCCTCTTACCGTCGTCCATTTGTTAATTGAGTGTCCAAAATACTCTAGAGATCGTTCAATAAACAATATACCACATATTTTACCAGATTTATTAGGAGAAAACTGTCACGTAAAAACTTATTAAATTACCTAAGGTCAATCAATATTTTGTATCAGATTTAAAGTTTGTTTACTGAGTAACGCTGCTAATAACCTGTTGGTGGATGCGGCAATGTTTCTTTTTAATAAAAAAATACATATTTTTTAAAAATGGGTATATTACAATACTCTTAATTTTAAGTCAGTTATATTTCTTAATACGTTCTGTGGCTAATGAACACAGTTCGAAGCGAAACCTCTCCACACATACATACATGTAGAAAACCGTCATATTCTGGACTACACAATAACTGAACTATTATGTTTAACTTATGGTCTCATATTTAGTGATTTTTTTATCAAGGTCAACGTTTATTAAGGTCCCTAATCTTTCAACGCCTCTCTTACGTCCAATGTTAATTTAAATATGAAATGTAGTGACAGAACATACAAATAATAATAAATTTGTCATTTTTTATTTATATTTTTGACATAAAGAATATTTTTAATTATACTTTTACATGTTTGTGTTAAAAAACTATACAAATACATAAGAATTATAAACTAAGCAAATAAATTATAAGCAGTGATTTAAAAGAAAAGATTTCATAACGTAATCCTATTATGAAATAGATGAGATACCCATTGTCGCTGTTCCGCAGATCTACAAAATGGATAAAAGTTTATTAAATATTGTGTTACTTGGACTAGCATTTATGCTTGTTTTTGCAGCCTTTCAGACTATGACCAATATCCAGAAGACAATAACTGATAGCATAATTAAAGATAAACCATCTTACAAGGGCGATGCTTACTACAGTCAAGCTATTATTTATGTGTTTTTCTCCTTGTTTAACTGGTCAGCTCCATCAGTTATTAATATGATTGGTCCCAAGCTTTCCATGTTCATAGGTGGTATAGTATACGTCCTCTTTATGCTGCAGTTTTTGCTTCCAACCGATTGGGGATTGTATTTGTGCAGTGCTGTCTTGGGAATTGGCGCAGCGATGATATGGACTGGACAAGGAAATTACCTAACTTTAAATTCCACAAGAAAACTGATCACTCGAAACTCTGGAATATTTTGGGCATTGCTTCAACTAAGTATGTTGGGAGGTAATACTTTTGTATTCTTTGCCTTTCGAGGTAAGGATCAAATAGATAAAACTACACGAATTTTTGTAATTATTACCTTATCAGCTATTGCTGTCGGTGGACTAGTGATGCTGTTTTTACTTCCCAAAGCGTACAAAGATGATGAGGATGATGTTGAAGAAATCCATCACTCTGGACCTATTGATGCATTTATTGGAGCCGTAAAATTATTTATAACCATGAAGATGTTCTTTCTAAACTTTACTTTTTTCTACACTGGACTAGAACTGGGATTTTTTAGTGGTATTTATAGTTCCTGTATTGGATTTACCACACAGTTTAAAAATAGGAAAGCACTTGTAGGTGTATCTGGTATTTTAATGGGAGTGGGAGAAGTTATTGGGGGAGCAGTATTTGGGATCTTTGGACACAAAACTGTTTTTTGGGGAAGGGGACCCGTTGTAGGAACTGGTTTAGTTTTACATGCACTAGCTTTCATTTTAATTTTTCTAAATTTAACTAACGATTCTCCGTTTGAGGATACATATAAAAGTGCAATAATAACAAGTAGTAGCGGCTTGGCAGTATTTTGTTCATTTCTTTTGGGTCTCGGAGATGCAATTTTTAATACCCAAATATTTTCTATCCTTGGGTCAGTATATGCCGATAATAGTGCACCTGCTTTTGCAATTTTTAAATTTAGCCAGTCGGTGGGAGCGGCCGTTACGTTTGCCACAGCAAAATTATTAGGCCTACATATCCAACTATTAATACTTCTTATAATGGCTATTGTTGGTACAGTTTTATTCATTTTAGTTGATAGATCATCATCCTCCAAAGACGCCTAAATATTCTAAGATTTTTTTTATTTAATTTTGCTTATAATGATTGTATGTATTGGTTGGAAATTAATTTTTTTTACTAAATAAAAGTAGTATATTAAACACTGATTACTAATTTATTTATGTTCAAATTGAGAAAAGTCAGAAATATCATTCAAACTGTTATAAATATCGAAAGATTGTTTGTAAATATGTTTAGGGGCTGTGAGAATTTATATAGAGCCTTAAACCTTTATCGTATATACAATACTACTATCGAGGAAAGCTGGGAAAGCTCAAAATTAACATAATTACCGCAGCCACAGAATCCCTTGGAGAGATTACACTATACAGTAACGAACACTAACATATCAGAAAAGAAAACACTATGGTTTAGAGAGAAAGTGAATTCAAAATGTGAAGAAATAAGGAAAGCCTTTTTACAATACAGAATACAACAAACACAAGAGGCCTATAACCATTCTAAAGAAATCAGAAATGAAACGAATACTTTAGTTAGACAAATAAATAGGGAACACTGGAAGAGCTTCTCAAAACAGATGAAATATGACTTCTACGGAACACAACAAGAAATTTGAAGAATAATTAGAGGACAAAGAAAACAGATAAACGAACTAATAAAAAGAAAACACGTTCAGAAGGAAACATGAGTAGACTACTTTCGATCCATATTTGCTAAAGGTGATGATAATGAACCACCAACAGTAGAGGTGACGACAAAACGAAGAAATAAATATTAAGGAGGAAGAGGTAAAGGAAGCATTAAGGAAATTAAAAAATTAAAAATCACCGGAAGAGGACAGATTACCGAACGAACTCCATAAGTACAGAGAATCAGATCTAACCAAACAACTAATCCAAAAAATAATGAACAAAACAGATTTCCTCAAGAATGGAGATAAAGCATCCTAATACCTCTTTTTAAAAGGGGAGACAAATCGGACCTGGAAAATTACAGAGAAATTAATTTATTAAATATAATTCTAAAATTGACAACCAAAATAAAACGAATAAACTGAATGAAATTTTAACACTAGCAGAAAAATAACAAGGTTTTAGGTCGGGAAGATCATGCACCGATGCTATATTTATAACGAGGCAAGCGCAAGAAAAATAGTTAGAATACAACAAATTGGCATGGCTATGTTTCAAGGACCTTAAAAAGGCATTTGGCTGGGTCAAATTAAAGGACATTATTCGTGTATTGTAAGAGAGATACATCTAGGAATAATCAAAACGATCGAAAATATCTACCGAAACAACACAATAAAAGTAAAAGTGGAAGAAGAACTAACCGACTCTATTGAAGCTTGGCAATATAATAAGATATGGAGAGTACCTGAGTCCTTTTTTGTTCAATAAATTGATATAAGGTTGAATGCTCGAATAAACGAACTTTGAAGATTAAAGGCAGTTATATCGAGCACAATTGTAATAATCAAATCTTGCCCAAGTACTTTCGCTTTCTACAGCATCATCAGGGTCATTTGTTCAAATTTGGGCTATCCAGCAAGCGCAAAATTTAATAAACATGTAATTAAACATAGATTGTACATAACACTACACTAAAACAAGGACAAACAGTTTAATCAATCAATCAATGCGTTTTTACCTTGCTTTAAGCTCTATGCTTCTTCAAGGGTGGGTTTGTTTATTGGGTGCTTATGCTTGTTTGGTTTGAATGCTAGTTTTAGCTCGTATGACTTCGGTTGGACTCCGAAGACTAAGGGCTCCGCTGCTAAAAAAGATAAAAGGGGGTGGAGAAGGACGGAAGGGTACCGAGAACAAAAAGAAGGCAAGAGGCGGAAATCGTACCTTTCGGAAGAGTTAGCCAAGTATACCAAGCCTATCACGAAGTACAAGTTCCATGGAAAAAACGATTCCTTTCAGATTATTGGCCATTTTTGTTTGTTGGAAAAACGCGTAGAGGATAGCTGTGGCTATATCCTCACCTAGGATCAGGTATCATTGTGCAATGAGATTGGGAAACCACAGAAAACCAATCTCCCCCTGTCCTTGTGATTATTTAATCGACTCTTAAGGAGTGTAGGCGGTGCTCACAGTGTGGTGATGTGTAATGTGTTTGTGGTGTTTTTGTGTGTTTACTAATTAGGATTATGTGTTTATTGATTGTGATATAGGATTACGTGTTTATTAATTTGGATTGTGAGCGAAGTGTTGTGTTGTGATGGGTGTTGTTTGAGTGAATGTGTGTTGATGTGTGTGGTGTGTTTTTCAGATGTGTACGTAGGTGAAGGTTTGATTGACTAGGTTATTTGTGCATGAAGTGGCTTTGGCACATCCATACATTGCGTTTGAAATTTGGTTAAGGAATAGGGTTATTGCGCTTCTCTTTTCAGGGAAAACGTTGAATAGGAGCATGGATGCGGAATGTATAAGGGATTTCATGTCAGACGACAGGTCATAGGAAGGAATTTGTTTCTCTGTGTGTACTGGTTGGGTTTGGTTATAGTTTGCGGGATGAGCGCTTCGGTGAGGGCATTGTGGTGAAAAGGCAGGTTGAGGGCCGCTATAGTTAGGACATTTGGGAGCTGATATCGTGGGGCAGGGAGTAGACCGGTGGCTGAGCCCGCAGAACGGGCAAATTATTGACTTTTCGGGGCATTCTGTGTTGAAATGTCCGCTTTTGCAGCATCTCGAGCAATACTTGGAACGAACGGGGACGGAGTTGCCTGATCGTGGAATTTCACAGGCCAACCGTTCACCCTCGATCAAAATACCGCTCGAGAGCGCTTCAGCGAACTTGGTTTCAGAGTTAGTTAATACTCTGATGTAGGAGGTGGGTTGGTTGGTGGAGCGGGCGATTATTCGAACTACTTTGGTGAAGTCTTCACTTTGGCGGGAACGTGTACGTTCACGTTGAAAGTTTGTGCGAGACTGAAACAGTTTAAAATTATTTAAAAATTATTTTACGCTACATTATTGTCGGCAACAGGAGAGAAAATTTTCAAAGTTCCTTTATTGTTCAACCTAATTATGGATGAAATAATAAAAAAAGTTAGATAAGAAATAGCAGAAAAAGAACTTAAAATAATCTACTATGCGGACAACGCAATACTACTTTCAAAATGAAGACGATTTACAACGTATACTGCACCAATTTTACATAACCGCTAGAAAATTTACCATGTTAATTATCCCATGAAATGACAAAATGTATGGTTACAACAGCAAATTTACTAAGATGTAAATTGGAGCTGGAAGGTTAGATAATAAAACAAGTAATGAAGGTTCCATATCTAGGCTTCACTGTATCTAGTTACGAAAAGCTCTGTTAAAAACAGCAGAGATAAAAACGCTTGTATGAGACAGAGCTAGAAGTGCAGATTTACGACGTAGATGCAAGGTGGAGAATATCAAGAACTGAGTAAGAAATAGAAGTGTAAAATGGAACGATCATGTAAGCCGAATGATAACAAATAGAGTAGTAAAGACGGCAAAAGACGGTTTCCCAATTAAAAGACGATCAGTAGGAAGACTACGAAAACGTTGGAACGGCAACTTTTTGGAGGCATATTAAAAAGAGGCAGAATCATGTCTACATAAAAAAAAGAAGAAGACATTACTACTAGGAGACAATAATAATCTAATTATACTCAATGATGGAAGACCAACCAAAATATCCAGGCCGAAAGAGCGTCCTTCACTGATACACTTAAAATTAGTAAAAGAAAATGAATGGATTATTTCCACCAATTTCTCCGATTAGAGCACCGTAGAGAACCAAACCCTCGTGGTGACCTGTTGAGTTTGTGTTACAGATTTTGTTTGGTAGCTGATTCGTTTGTTTGCCTCTTGTGGGGGTAAAATTATACACAACACAATACTTTGCTCTTCTATCTTGTGTAAAACGGGTAAGAAAGAGGGAGAGAGAGCGAGAAAAACGTGTTGAGCGACTTACTGGATACGTGTCTTTTCAACCCTTAAAACAAAACTAAAAACTTCCAAGTAGGAAAGAAGTGATAAAGAAATTAGAAATAGTGATTTTCGGTGATTTTTGCTATAAAATCAATGTTTAAACAATGACTCCGTTCTTTTAAACTGATACTTCTGATGTAAATCCATATTTTCATATCAAAACTTTAATTCCTGCAAGATTTCGTTCAGAAACGAAATATTTTACATTTTATTTTTTGTTTATTGGACTAACATAAATGGAAAAGATAAAATTTATTCGTTTATCGAAGCTGTGTAAAAGCCTATTTCTTTTATTCATTCAGAATATTTATTTGCTGAAGAAGAAACTATTGTGTTTGTTGTGTTCTGTATTGTAAAAACACTTTCCTCGCTCCTTCTCTACTATTTTTTCTTACTTCCTTTCTAAAAGATGAGGTTTTCTTTTTTAATATGTTCGTTTTCTTTACTTTTCTCTCTCTGCTCCTGCTGTTGAGCTAGTTTTGTTATTTCTGACTTTTTCTCAGCTTTCCAAGATGTTATCGTGTGTTTTTAATATTCCATTCTTAGCAATCTTCTCTGATATTCTTTTTCTGTGCAAGTATTTTTAGGAGTTCCTGTTTAGTGCTTGGGCTATGATTTTTTTTTGTGTTGATGCCGATCTTTCGAGTATACTCTATTTCATAATGATTCTTATTTTATATAATACTATGATCGCTATGGTCGCTACCTATATCTACTGAGTTGTCTTATGTCGACTAATTGTAATTGATGTATCTCGCTATTGGTTATAACATAATCTATCATAGATCTTTGGCCATGAGTATTATTGAATATATATTTGTGGTGGTTTTTGTTGTTAAACAATGTCTTGTTTATTTCTTCTTTTTTTCCTTCTTGTATGTAGGCTTTAAAGCTCGTTTCTTCTTCAATATTAGCCTCCTAAATTATTTAAATGGTCGCACCATTTTTTTCTTGGTCTTCCAATACATCTTCGTCCATTTGGTGACATATCTCGTGCTATTCTTACTATTCTATTCTTTGCCATTCTACTGATGTATTCGTTCTACTCCTGTTTTCGTTTTGTCACCCATCCAATTACGTCTTCTATATTGCATGCTCTTCTTATGTTTTCGCTTCCCTCCCTATCCAACAGACTTCTCCCTGATAATCGTCGGAGTATTTACATCTCT